AGAGAGAGAGAGAGAGAGAGAGAGAGAGAGAGAGAGAGAGAGAGAGAGAGAGAGAGAGAGAGAGAGAGAGAGATGCTTGCACCAATGGGTGATCATCCACATTGTCCCGTCATACCTGCTGACATCTTAAGAAGAACATCCGGTTCTCTTTTGACAAGATATCATCAGAGCTCTTGCACCCAACACACATCACATACTCCGCTGCAGGGAAACCAACCAAGGAAGCAGACATGTTCATTAGATCTCTCCATTAGAGACTCTGCAAACCACCTTGCACTGACAGCATGCCTCTCGAACTGGACAGAACCTTTTAATAATTACGGGCCTGGGGAGTGCTGGCCAAAGCAAGCTGGAATGTGATTCTCAATGGCAACATCAAATAACAATTTTGATCGTACAGACAGGTTTTCTAGCCGCCTTGCTTGGGAAGATGCTGCTTCACAATAGGTCTACTATAGGGTTGTGTCGCTGCAACGAGGAGGTGACCGACGATCCAGGTCATCTGCGACACCATCTACACGACGTTGATATTCCCAACAGCAGATTGATGTGGATTTCAATCACTGATCCAGATCTTCTTCCTCCCTTGAAAGCAAGAACAGTTCAGGTGTCAGCAAACAACCATTTGCGCAAAGCCCAAGGGGAGACTGATGTGGCGTTCATATCACTGCTTAACTTTCAACATCACCGTTTTTCTGGAAGTCAGTTCTCCCGAGTGAGCTCCTTGGCGAGTACTGCTGTGCCCATTTGGATCAGAGGTCAGTAGGAAACTCTTTTTTTTTACAACTTTTGTATTCCAAGCCATGAATCAGGCCTGCCCTAGGTAATACCGTAATACAATATTGCAGCAGTGTACTCGTCTCCTTATCTGCTTCGAGTTGGAGTTCGAACTCAGGTCTGTACTTCAACAGTTCAGGGGTGTACCAAAGGAGGTAGGCCAGTTGGTAGAGGCCATTAGGAAATTATGTTCTTGTTTGAAAATAACATTTCATAAGTGGACAAATCGTTGTTATTGTCAACAGTACAACTGGACTTCGATTGTCACCAATTGATTCCAACATGTATGGGCATCATTTGTCTGAGCTCCGTTGAGAATTCCTTCCCCACATCATGCAAAATAAAAAATAACGCCCAGAACCCAGCCGCTGTGGACGACTGGCACAACCGTCAACTGTTGATGAACAGACCCGGGTTCAAATTTGAATCGTCATGGAATCAGACACATAAAATAACTCTGAATAACCTTGAGGCCGGCTAGTTCGATGACAATATCTCGGGGTCATTACCCCGAGGAAAAGACGCTCAAAGAAAGTCACGAGTAGACCTGAGTTGATGTAGTCGGCAGGATTTCAAAAGAGGTCGGGGGAGAGGCGGGGCCGGGGGGGGGCAGAGGGGGAGATGGGCAAATTTGACCTTTTTTTTACCGCCCAAGGAACGAAAGTCCAGCATTCAAAGGCTTCGCTTAAACCGCTACCGTCTTCACCGGAAAATAACGCCCGGGCGTTATATTCAACTTAACCTACAAAGATGAGATTTTCGTTTTTACTCTTTTTTTTCAAATAGAACGCCCCTTCAAATAGAAGGCCCGGGTGGTATATTCGAATAGAACGCCCGGGCGTTATATTTGAATGTTCCACGGGCAGAGTGCCTTGAAGAGGTAGTATATATGGGTTTTAAAAGGCGGGGAAGGGTGTATACATGGGTTTTGAAAAGGTTTGAATGGGGTTTTGACTTCCAAGGGGTATATTTTGGCTTTAGTTTTTTTTTTTTTTTTTTTTTTTTTTAACAGGCCCTTATGGTCCTGGCTCCGTTTCCATTCTGGGGAGCATCAGTCCAGTTCCTATTCCACCGGCAAGTCAGAATAACAGGATACATCATAAGTACTCACCCACGCTTCCTTCCGTCCGGCCAAAGGACCCCTGACCAGCATTGATTGCTCCAACATCGTGGAGGATTGACCGTCAGCTTGCCCTGCTTCATCCTTTCCTCACAGGTTTACTGCGAAAACCTGTCGTATAAAACATGACTAGCGAGAAAGGTCCTAAAAGCTGCCAAAGCTGCCAATTTTGTCTAAACTGAAAAAAAGTAACCCTCAGCCAAAAGTTGGTCGCATTCCAATCCTGGACAACATTTTTTATTTTCAGAATTTTTTGATTTTTTTTTTTCGGAAATTCGGTGCCTCACAGAAGTTCCCACAAATTTACAGAATATAACGCCCGGGCGTTATAAACGAATATAATGCCCGGCGGGCGTTATTTTCGGGTGAAGACGGTAGTACACGGCCCCAGCCTTGCAGAAAGTTTCTGTCGCCACAAGCAAAACTCGGAGGCGCTGCGCAGCTAGGCCCGCCATTGAAAAACAAAATTGGTGGCCTCCGACACGGCCCCAGCCTTGCAGAAAGTTTCTGTTGCCACAAGCAAAACTCGGAGGCGCTGCGCAGCCAGGCCCCCCTTTGAAAAACAAAATTGGCGGCCTCCAAAGTGGTGTGAGTTTCATGCTGACACCCGTGGGCCGACATGTGGTGTACCTGTGCTTTAACAATCAACACATAAAGGATGGGGCTTTAACATGCAAGGCTGCCTCAAACCACGTCTGTTCTTTCTTTATTAACATGGAATTCAAATTGTTGATTGAAATCGCATTCAAAACGATTAAGCAGAGCACTCCGAATGAATAAGTGCAAACAAAGTTAGTTCAACTGCTTGGACACACAAAACCTCGACAGTCGTGTTGTTTAGATGAGTCTTCCTACAGGGGATCACAGAACAGGAAACGAAATCCACTTACTCATATAACGACGAAGAACTCCTTCAAAGACCTTGGGCAAGAATCGCCCCTTACAAATCAACCTTTGTTGCCCATCCCGTGACCCTGTGGTTCCCAGCTCAGCCAGTAGGAATGCCATAACATGCTCTGCCTGCCGATGCATCCTGCAATCGATCGTCGATACAAGCAGTCGGAAACCACCACACCTTATTGAGCACCGGGCCACATCAACCTTCACGCAAAGTGTTTTGATAATACACATGACAGGCAGGAGATTTCAGGATCCTAACTCTCCGCCATCCTCACCCTGCCCGACCCTCGACAAGGCAAGTACCCCGAAAGCGACAGAGATTGCTGCCTGATGGAACGGACAGGGGATGTCCGCCACATGTTACAAAAACCAGACACGATTTAGTCACTGCAGAACCAAACCAAATGCAAAAGAAATGCTTCGTTAGGACTTCAGCGGCAACAAGGGACATTGCTCCACTGCTCTCTGCATGCACAAAAGAGGAAAAATATTACGGTGTACCTTTCCATGTTCAAGCGGAAGATTCATTCTCGATTATTAGCACATTTGGTGAGTAGACGAGCGAGGCCCATAGTGTCGTACGCTAACATGTAGGGCATTGCACCACAAATAAAACTTACATAAAGTAAAAAGAAAAGTCCACTAACACCAGAAATTTTCCAAATAGCACAATATGTAAACACTTCAACCTGACACCACTGATGTGTGGATTGCGAAGTGGGGCCTCATTTTGTAGTGGATTGCGAAGTAGGGGCTCATTTTGTAGTGGATTGCGAAGTAGGGGCTCATTTTGTACGTCTAGAAGTAACTAATCAACACTGTGAAGCACGACAGGCGGTCATAAAAGGAAGAACCTGGTCCGGATTGCAAAAAGGGGGGCGGGGGGGCTTTTTGTGTGCCTAGAAGTAGTTACTCCACACTGTGAAGCAAGACAGACAGTCACAACAAGGAAAATCCCGTCTCAAAGTAACTGCTGTGAAGCATGACAGACGATCAGAACACCTGGGCATAACAGGGGAAAAAAGGGACTGAATAGGAAGATTCTCACACCCGGACAGGCTCCGGAGGGTTACGCACAGGATACCTGGGCGTGCAAAAAAAACAAAAAAAAGAAAGGTTTTCTGCGCTCTCCCGGAGGGCCCCAAACCCGGGTTCATTTCAAGGGGGGAGGGGGAGAGGGGTATAAATTGGTTATAAAGGGGCTAAAGCGGTTTAAAGGGGGGTGCCTTAGTGTGATTCTGTTATTTTCATTTCTATCTCGTATCTGTGAGGAACTCCAATGTGACCCTCAGCCAAAAGTCGCTTGTATCGCAAATCTGCACAACATTTTTTTTTCAGGATTTTTTTTGTTATTATTTTTTCTTGCGCTGGTGCTGCCGTGATCCCTGCCCGGGGGTCACGCCCGGCCGGGCACCCGGGCGTGTGCCCAGGCATAAGTTGTGTGCCCAGGCACCCGGAAAAACAGCCCAGGGGACTGAACTAATTCTGACATCATGAAACCTCTCTCTCTCTCTCTCTCTCTCTCTCTCTCTCTCTCTCTCTCTCTCTCTCTCTCTCTGTGTGTCTCTGTGTATGTGGTGGAGGCATTTATGTTGTCGAACGCAAGGCCAGAGTTCATAGATGAGAGCCGCAGACACATGCTCTTTGACATAAGCTCTTTGGCAAAAATAGAGGTCTACAATGAACTCGACAGCACTCTAGAAAGGTGCAAAAACCAAGAGGGCGAAAAGGTAGGTACATACGATTCCCAAGGGCGGGCCTCATGTCTATCTTCCGATGCTTGCGGGCTGCGCTTCATCCAGGCTGGTACCTGACTGCATTCCATTGAGGGGCCTGATTGGGGCGTGAATCTGCAGAACGGTCTCTGGGTAGAGTCTCATCTTGCGCAGGGGGAGGGTGGGTTGTCACATTTGATAGTAGAAGGGTGGTAGACAGCCATAGAGTCTGCTAGATGTGATACAGGTGGGGAATGACCACATATCTGTGACCCCTCCTGTGTCCGGTCTAGAGACAAGGTCTGGGTTGCACCGCTGTAGGGCTCGACTTGTGATCTGATTAGGACAATAAAAAAGTTCGCGGATGATGCCCCTTGGAGGAGACTGTCCTTGGGGCTGCCACAAGCCATCTGATCTCCCCACTGGTTGAGTACAACGACAGGCACCTCCCAAGACCGAGCATCCAGGACTCGAATAAGCACACCCGATGGCAAAAGGTGAGTCTGACCAAGAAAGAGATTGCAAGAGCTAAGCATATACAAGCATACCTGACAGCACGAGATAGGTACAAACAAGAAACTATACAAGGACAAGGATAGATGATCGTTGGCCGATTACGAGTTCTTGGTGAGCACTGTAATGACCGAGACTATAGCAGACTATAGCATCACCATAATGCAACAGCAGGTGACATCTTGGGCTTATCATATCACCGGACCAGTGGGGGCAGGAGCGCTAAGTGCCTGGCATCCAGTGCAGAAAAGATGCTAAGCACCTAGCACTAAAAGCATCATGGCACCGCAGTGGGTCCCATCTGATCAAGCTTCCGGTGCATGCTACTTTACCTCGATAGGAGCAGTTATCACAAGATGTGTTGGCAGAATGCAGGGTCGTAATATAGCAACAAATGTTACTTGCTCTCGATTTGAAATTCTTAGTCACAGTGTGATTGGAGTTGGGAGGTTCCTTGAGAAGAAAGGGACTGGGGGTATTCTTTAAAAAAGGGTGCAAAGTTGCAAACACTCTTACAAATCCATAGCATAGCAAAGCATGTACAGAAAGGGGGGGGGGGGGGAAGCAAAAAGGAATCGCGAACTGGATATAATTCCAACAGACAGGTTGACTAGAAAAGTGTCGGTAGAGAAAGTTACTTCGACACTGTTACACTCCTCCAAGTGCAGAAAAGCACAAACAAGAGCGAGGAAAAGGGGCGGGTGGAGGGGCGGGGGGGGGAAAGAGAGAATATGCGGTTTCTTTAGTTGAATGCATATTAAAATTGATATCGCATGGAGATGCAGAATATCAAGTGGAGATGCAGAAGAGTGAACTCACGTTTTACACAAGTCCATGAAGTTCACAAAAATGGTCTTCTTCGTGCCTTCTCGGAGCACCTGAGGTGGCTTCATGATCGTCTTCGTTCTTTTCTGCAGCAAGGCCTGGATTGTTCTCCCTCAAAATTGCAAACCCACGGCCCAGCAGCTGAAAACATTACACTCAGTTAGTGGTGGCAGAAGAGCAGTGCAGATACGCAATCGCATGTGTACACGCAACAACACATGCTCACAAAGAAAACAAGCCAAACTAACAGAAAACAAAAGGACCGATAAAAATTTGAAGAACAATAAACCGACCGGGAATTTGACGGGGACCCGGAGTGGGCCTAGGATCAGCCAGCTTTTGAGCAGATCATGATGTCCAGGGCCGAGATTTCAGTTTAGATACCCGCAGAGCTATATTCAGGTCTTGCGGGTGAATGACAGACTAAAAGGATGTTCTCGCCAAGAGGTAGAAACACCCGCTAGACCTACCTTCTTCACCCGCACAAAACATATGGTCATTGTAAGATTGAATTCGGGCCACATTTCAGTCCAGATACCGCCATAACGACCATATATTTTATTCAGGTGAAGAAGGTAGTGCACTCGGGAGGGTCTGGGTAGAGATCGAAGAGCATCATCCAAGAGGCACTGCAGGTTGTGAGGCAAGAGTATATCATTCGTTCTAGCGGGCAGTCGGACCACTCACCAAGCAGTAATGCTGCTGGCCCGCGTAGAAAGAGAAACTTTTTTTTTTTTTTTTCACAAGAAAACATTATTCCAGAACGAGAGGATGAGGTCGGGGACCTCATTGGTAATCTTTCACATTCTGCTAAGGATGCTATTAAAAAAAAAAAAAAAGTAATAAAACCAACTGGCACTAAGCGTAGGAGTTCCTCGGCTATGGAGGGAGGTACAGGGGAAATGCATTCCACGATGCATACCCCAAATTCGAGTCTCAGGGTCAAAATTCCCAGGCCGAGAGAGGCCAGGTCGGCCAGTTTCAGAAGGGTTACGTCGGGTACACCCCAGAGGTCGAGTCCAACAGGTACCCGGTCAACAGTCACATCCCAGAGGCAAAAGTCACATCCCGTAGGCATCAGTCACATCCCATAGTTAAAGGTCGTGTCCCACAGGCAAAAGTCACGTCTCGTAGTCGAAATTCATATCCCACATGCAAGGGTCACGACTCGCAGTCAACGGTCACGTCCTACAGACCCAAAGCAGCAGCAAAAGTCAGTCAAAATTCATATCCCACATGCAAGGTTCACGACTCACAGTCAAGGGTCACGTTCTACAGACCCAAAGCAGCAGCAAAAGTCAGTCAAAATTCATATCCCACAAGCAAGGTTCACGACTCACAGTCAAGGGTCACGTTCTACAGACCCAAAGCAGCAGCACGCCAAGGAAAACTAAGGAAGGTACTGGGCCTCGACATTCAGAGGCATGGAAAACAGAAGGCAGCTGGTACCAGGTCCAAAGCAAGCCAAGTGAAGCAGAGGCTGGGACGAGTCAAGGCTCAGTCCAAGTCAATATAAGGACTAACCAGCCACATTTCGGGAGATTGCTCATTGGCAAGCAGAGTTGAAGTGCTGCTGAGCCGCTTGTGCGCTATCTGTGAGTAGCTAGCGCTGGAGACCTTCTGGGCAGCGCTGTGCTGAGGAAGGAAGGAGGCTATAGCCGCATAGCTAGTAGTAGAAGATAGAGCTGAGCAGTAGCGATGTATTCAGAGTCGAGATCTGCAAGTAGAGAGGGTGAGCACATGCATGAGGAAGGGGGACAGAGAGAGGAGAGAGTCACCTACCTTAGATGAGGATGCTGGACTCTGCGCTGTTGAGCGCCTGGTGACTGGAACTCGGTACCTGTTTAATATGATAATTTGTTGGAATTTCTGAGCTGCGCTTATCTGGACTACGCATCACTGGCCTCCAGTGTGGACTTCGTGTGATCTCCCATTGTGTGTGTGTGTGTGCTCAAGGTGTCGGGCCGTGAGGCTCACTGCACGCCCACGTTAGGTATGTGAGAGAGGACGCACAGTAGCAAAGGAGGAAGGGGGTGGAATTCCGTGAGGAGAGTTACTTGTGGCTACGGTGGGCCTTCATCTTCCTGGTCAAAGAGGCCCCTGCAGGAGACTTCAGTCCTGGGAGGGCTATGCCAGTAAGAGATGGCAGACGCATGGAAGCAATTGCGTCGTCTTTTAAACATCCATGCTAGGCATGGGTGAACAACCATAGCTGCGTGCCTCACCAACAGTAGAGGAGAGTCGTAGAAGGCCATTACATCGAGGTTAATGACGATAGGAAGAAGCGGGGGATGGAATCGGTTCATTCTTATGTTCTTCTCCTCCTCCTCTTCCTTTCTTCTTCTCTCCTGTTCTCTTCTTCTTCTAGGTTGGGCTGCAATACCAGGCATTGTCTCTCAAGTTGTCATTGAACATAAGTCCTCCAGATTTTGCATCTTGATCTCTCTATGGTCTGCACCTTTCACTTGAGAACTTACACATCAGAAGCTTCATGAAAGAAAAAAGGAAGTGAAAAAAAAGATATCAGAAGCTCGGTGCAAGCTAGATCCTACACACCCGGCACAGGTAAACGATAGTACAGGGTAATGGATCTTCATTGAGATCTCAGGTGCTGGACCAAAAACAAGCACACAGTAAGAAGCGCCAGAGGAACCCCCATCAAGATCGAGAAATAATCAGGCGCCCAATAAGTGAGCATGGACACACCAGCACTACCGAACACAACACAGCGAACACACCCTCATTTTGGCTGTATGGGACCAGAAAGCTAGCTTGTATACATTCAATAATCAAGGTGCGTTGTGTTTGGGGGACGACAGTAGCAGCCCTGGTTTCGTCAAGACGAGAGTATGATAGCAGCAGCTCTAGAGACTAGAATACCTACTCTACTCTTAACTAACAACTACCAGACTAAACTACACTTGCTAATCTACAGCCGCTGAGGGATCCGACAAAGATCCGCGAATCCAAACCTATTCTCCACATCCCGTGCCACATGCTTGCACAGCTGCGCTCATCTGCAAGAGCTCTTGTCCTAACAACAGGACGGGTCTGTCTCATGCTCAGTGCAAAGGATATGACCACAATGTAACGTACTGAAGATAATTTCGCACAACATAACATACTGAAAATAATTTTGAACGCTGGACCCGGTTTCCAGCACAGGACCACTCCGGGCTGAGATGTGGAGGAATTCCCGGCCTCCGGTGACTACTGAGTTGTAATAAAATCTGCAACATTCTTCAAAAAAAAAAAAAAAAAAAAAAAAAAA